ATTGTCTCTTCGCAGCTAAATCTGCAGAGCTGGGATGGTTGTATCCCCCATATATACATGTGTGTGTGTATATATAACATTGGTTGCAAGAATTCTGTATAATCATTTAAATGGAAAAACTCTTACGTTTTGTAACCGGCATCGTTTTGTGTATTACATTTTAGTCATTTAGCAGACGCTCTTATCCAGAGCAACTTACAGTTAGTGAGTGCATACATTATTTCTTTTTTTATTTTATTTTTTCATACCCCCTTTGGGAATGGAACCCACAACCCTGGCGTTGCAAACGCCATGCTCTACCAACTGAGCTACATCCCCTGCCGGCCATTCCCTCCCCTACCCTAGACGACGCTGGGCCAATTGTGCGCCGCCCCATGGGTCTCCCGGTCGCGGCCGGCTACGACAGAGCCTGGATTCGAACCAGGATCTCTAGCAGTGCCTTAGACCACTGCACCACTCGGTATCAGTTCATAAACCATGTGCCATGGAATCGGTACATAAAAAATCTCCTCCCAACTATTTTGCAACCTGTATGATGCAGCTGTCCATTTTTTGGTCCTTAAATGAAACTGGTTTACTTTTTTATTTATCACAATTTTCTTTAGCCAATGTTGGTCTTTAATGCCGACAGACAAGTTCCTTACCGTCTCCCTCTTCCAGTTGCCGCCTTCATTTTTGCGGTAATGCTACAATTAGTTGGTTGTCATTTTGAATAGAGCAGACATTTCCATATATATTTTTTACCTGCTGGTGTGACATAATTCCACCAGTCCCTATTTATATCATTTACAAAGATTATACCGTAACTTTTTTATCTCCAAATGTAAAAAAATAAATAATAATCTATTAGTATATTTGATTTTAACCATAATATGTGTTGTAATATTTGTTCTGTCTTTTCTGGTGGATGAAACTGAAATTGCAACCAGCTTTCTATGGCTTGTTTCAAAAATAGCGATAGTTTGGAGATTTCATTTCAAATAACCGAAAGTGAGAGGTTGTAATCTGAAATGAAGGGGAAAAGGGCAATTTCTTGCCATGCTACTTCAGTTGGGACAAAGGCTGTTTTTACACTGTTGTTCTAGGTCATTTTAGGAAGGTTCCTCAATGGAGGAAATGCACATCTATTTTTACCCTGCTGGGTGCATGTGAGCATAGCACAAGTCAATGAATCTCCCCTCACTGTATTCACTGGGAAGTCAATGACTCTCCCCTTACTGGGAAGCGGGACATCTGCAGTGGCTCATCTGAGGAGAGCATGAGATTCTACCAATCCGGTCTATACGAACTTGCTTTCATCTGGATATGTAGGTTATTTGCTAACATTTAACTTCCTGTGTATGTACTGCAGATAATCCAACCACGATTAGGCTGCACTGTACTACCCAGCCAACACAGCATACCCAACCTAAATGCTTCACTTGAAACATTGCAAAACGTTGCACTGCATTGCATTTATAAACGGTGTCTCTTTGATGCTGTCTGCAGCCTTATTTCAGAGAACCAATGGAAGCTTTAAACAGCAAGTGGTGTTTAAGTGTCTGGTCAACTCTGAGCCAATGTACACTATATATATATATATATATATACACACACACACACAAGTATGTGGACACCCCTTCAAATTAGTGGATTCGGCTATTTCAGCCACACCCGTTGCTGACAGGTGTATAAAGTTGAGCACACAGCCATGCAATCTCCATAGACAAACATTGCAGTAGAATGGCCTTACTGAAGCGCTCAGTGACTTTCAACGTGGCACCGTCATAGGATGCCATCTTTCCAACAAGTCAATTCGTCAAATTTCTTCCCTGTTAGAGCTGCCCCGTTCAACTGTAAGTGCTGTTATTGTGAAGTGGAAATGTTTAGGCACAACAACGGCTCAGCGCGTAAATCCTCGGTTGCAACACTCACTACCGAGTTCCAAACTGCCCTGGAAGCAACGTCAGCACAAAAACTGTTCGCCGGGAGCTTCATGAAATGGATTTCCATGGCCGTGCAGCTGCACAAGCCTAAGATCACCATTGGCAATGCCAAGCGTCAGCTGGAATGGTGTAAAGCTCACCGCCATTGGAATTTAGAGCAGTGAAAACGCGTTCTCTGGAGTGATGAATCACGCTTCAACGTCTGACGGACTAATCTGGGTTTGGCGGATGCCAGGAGAACGCTACCTGCCCGAATGCATAGTGTCAACTGCAAAGTTTGGTGGAGGATGAATAATGGTCTGGGGCTGTTTTTCATGGTTCGGGTTAGGCCCCTTAGTTCCAGTGAAGGGAAATCTTAACGCTACAGCATCTAGACGATTCTGTGCTTCCAACTTTGTGGCAATAGTTTGGGGAAGGCCCTTTCCTGTTTCAACATGACAATGCCCCCGTGCACAAAGCAAGGTCCATACAGAAATGGTTTGTCGAGATTGGTGTGGAAGAACTTGACTGGCCTGCACATAGCCTTAACCTCAACCCCATTGAATACCTTTGGGATGAATTGGAACACCAACTGCGAGCCAGGCGTAATAACCCAACATCAGTGCCGGACCTCACTAATGCTCTTTGGGCTGAATGGAAGCAGGTCACCGCAGCAATGTTCCAACATCTAGTGGAAAGCCTTCCTAGAAGATGAAGAATGACTAAAAGAGTGGAGGCTGTTTTATAGCAGCAAATGGGGGACCAACTCCGTATTAATGCCCATGATTTTGGAATGAGCAGGTGTCCACATACTTTTGGTAATGTAGTGTATCTCTGAGCCAAGTTGTGAAGGTGCTTCCTTTTCCCCTTCCTTGCCTAATGGCCTCTCTGGGTTAGAGGGAACATCATGTCCAGGTCAATGACAGGTGTACAGGACAAACATGTACCAGGATGCATCTCAATCGTCTCAAGTGTCATCCTCCTCCCCTCGTGTCCTTTCCAACACAGATCTTACAACAGAGAGCAGAGCCTGTAATTGGCTACCTGCCAATGTGGCTGGTGCAGAAGACAAATGCAGGGGTCGCTTTAGAGTTCAAAAATCTGCGTTTTCAAAACGCAGACCATCAAGAAGTCGGCTTTAAAAAATATATAATTTCACCTGTTTTATATTGAAAGTCACATAATTGTTTTGCTTCAATAGTGATCAGAGGTGTGCAACTATAGTTTTCCTTTACAGAAAATACATTAGTCCAACACATTCGGCAGAAAATAGCTTCATTCAACAGACGACAACAGAAGTGCAATGCTATTTGTCTAGCAGCCACACAAATAAATGAGCATTCAATGAAAAGGCAAGGTATTTTTTTTGCAAAAAACGATGCGTGGCCATCATATTTCTAATGTTTATCATAGAAAGAATGTAGCCAGCTACATTTCCGAATGTTTTGCTTGAAGCTAATCGTGCATTTTACCAGAGAAAAATAAGCTACACCGTGAGAAGTACTGGAGAAAAAGTAGCTCCACATCAGTCAGTCCTGTCTGCTGATAGTGTCTGTCTGAATTCTCATCTGAGTGGAGAAGTGCAACTAAAGCACAAAATTAGTCTGAGCAAAAATTCCAGCATTTAAATGTGCATTTTACAAAACGCAGCAAGATATTTCTTATGCGTTTCATAATTTTTTTGTCTGCGTGAAAATGCAGAATTCTGCATTTAACATGACCCCTGCAAATGTATCTGCCAATACCTGCCAGAAATCAACCTGCCTCAGGTCCCGGATGAGAGCAGATCCTATATCTTTCTGCTGTATCACTTCCACTCATCCAATGTTGTGATCAGGAGAGTCCAAATCAAATCAAATCACATTTTATTGGTCACATGCGCCGAATACAACAGGTGCAGACATTACAGTGAAATGCTTACATACAGCCCTTAACCAACAGTGCATTTATTTTAAACAAAAAAGTAAGAATAAAACAACAACAAAAAAGTGTTGAGAAAAAAAGAGCAGAAGTAAAATAAAGTGACAGTAGGGAGGCTATATATACAGTAAAATAAAGTGACAGTAGGGAGGCTATATATACAGGGGGGTACCGTTGCATAGTCAATGTGCGGGGGCACCGGCTAGTTGAGGTAGTTGAGGTAATATGTACATGTGGGTAGAGTTAAAGTGACTATGCATAAATACTTAACAGAGTAGCAGCAGCGTAAAAAGGATGGGGTGGGGGGGCAGTGCAAATAGTCCGGGTAGCCATGATTAGCTGTTCAGGAGTCTTATGGCTTGGGGGTAGAAGCTGTTGAGAAGTCTTTTGGATCTAGACTTGGCACTCCGGTACCGCTTGCCGTGCGGTAGCAGAGAGAACAGTCTATGACTAGGGTGGCTGGAGTCTTTGACAATTTTGAGGGCCTTCCTCTGACACCGCCTGGTATAGAGGTCCTGGATGGCAGGGAGCTTTGCCCCAGTGATGTACTGGGCCGTACGCACTACCCTCTGTAGTGCCTTGCGGTCAGAGGCCAAGCAGTTGCCATACCAGGCGGTGATGCAACCAGTCAGGATGCTCTCGATGGTGCAGCTGTAGAATTTTTTGAGGATCTGAGGACCCATGCCAAATCTTTTTAGTCTCCTGAGGGGGAATAGGCTTTGTCGTGCCCTCTTCACGACTGTCTTGGTGTGTTTGGACCATGATAGTCTGAATCCCACGTTCCTTCAGTTGGGGTTGTTTTACACCAGCAAGGCCCCATTGCCCTAGCCTGGATGAGAAGTCCCCACTTGTTACTTGTGCACAGTGTTTATGAATGCACTGTAGTGTGCATTTCACACAGGGAGAGGTCTCTGGTCTCCAGTGTGTAGGCAGGAGCAGACCTACTGCAGGAGATAACATGAGTCACTTTTCAGTGAGTATTCTTCTGATTATGGTTGAGACAAACCAAAGCGGCGCTGCTTGTACAACAGTAGGATTAGAAAGAACAGAGGGTTAATGAATGAGGTCATATGTTTCTGCCTTCTTCGTTCCGATTATGAGCCAGTCATTGACCTGTTTCCTATTGTTAAGCAATCACTGGGTAGATAACAAATCCAGCTGTACAGTCAGTAACACATGTTACAGTACGAGTCGGAAGTCCCCACCAAAAACGGAACCACTCCCCCCACCACCACCCCACTGAAAATCAAAACCAAGCATTCTCACAACACTCTGGTCTGGTTTATTGAACGTGAGAATTGACAGGTCATGGCACAGATAGGTTTTCTGAAAGGACTAGGCTAGGCTAATCTCTCCTCTCCCCATCCTCTTCTCTCATAGGGAAGAAGAAGAACCCAGGTCTCAAGCTCTCCAAAGAGGTCTTTGAGCAGCCCCCACCTGCACCCCCAGTGTAAGGCTTCTTCTGTCATTGGTTGGCTGGATTCCAGGTTGTCTTTTTCGTGGTCACGCTGTGCATTTCAGATGATTGCTATATCATATTAATGTGGTTCCTGAGATGGTCGGCTAAACACTATTGTGAGATCTCATCATCTGTGCAGCACGACTCCAAAAAAAGATGCCCTGGAAATTCGCTGTGTGTGTCTGTGTCACAAACGTCATGATGACCTCTGTGCAGATTATGTATTTTGTTTTAATTTCTTAATAATGGTGAAGAAAACCACTGATGCCAGAGAGAAACTAACAAAAGAAACAGGGAGAGTGTGCTGAAGAGGTAGTTGTACTGTAATAGACGATGAGGTTATGGTTTTAGTTTCATATGCAGATGTCATTACCTGAATCTCCTCTCACAAAAAGCCTAAACTATACGACCCAGGATTTAAATGGCATCTTGTGAAAGTACAGTGACACAGTGTGATGTTCAATAAGAGCATTAGTCGTTTCTGTTAACACTTTGATATCGATGTCACATTTTAAACGAATGCATGGTGTTAATCCCACTACCTATCCTCTCTCCTCAGCCCCCCTCGAGATCTGGATTCGAAAGCCTGTGTTACCATTGGAGAGAAGGTAAGGAAGGGAAGAACGTGATGTTCAGGCTGTAGTACTTCAGTTTCTATCACCTTTGTGGTTTTACCTGGGTCATGTTCATTAGAAACCAATCGGACGAAAATGGACTGAAACAGGAAGGGACTACCTGGGGTATATTCATTACGCCGATTCTGTTGGAAAACGTTTCTTAAACGGAATGAAACGGGGACAGACCTTTCTGAATCTGTCCAATAGAAACTCATGTTTTAGTTACAATTTTCTCAACTGTTTGGACTAATGATTACACCCCTGGGCTTGTCCTATAAGAAGCGCTTATTTTTGTTTTTTGATGCTAAGGTTTTTGAAAACGTTTTCTTTTGCATGCCCTAATAAACACGACCCTAGCGTTTTCTCTAATGCATTTACTGGTTGACTTTGATGTGACTGATAGACTTCTCTCACGCTGTGCATCTCAGAACAACATGACGATGACCTCTGTGCAGATGATGTATTTGTTTTAATTTCTGAATAATCCTGATGAAAGAAACCACTGATGCCAGAGAGAAACTAACCAAAACAAAAAAATAGGGAGAGTGTGCTGAAGCGGTAGTTGTACTGTAATAGACGATGAGGTTATGGTTTTGGTGTCAAAATGCTGATGTCATTACCTGACTCATCTGACAGAAATCCTAAACTATACCACCCAGCCTTACCTGGACTTGTCCAATAAGAAACGCTTATTTTTTGTTTTCTGTTGTCCTAATGAACACGACTCTGGGGTTTTCTCTAATGCATGTATTGGTTGACCTTGATGTGGTTGGCTGATAGACTTCTCTCTCCACTGTTTCTCTCCTTCTGGCCAGAACTTTGTTATGAAGGCAGATGACTTGGAGCAGATCGGGGAGCTTGGGAGGGGAGCGTATGGCGTGGTGGACAAGATGAGACATGTGCCCAGTGGCCTTATCATGGCCGTCAAGGTGGGTGGAGTGCTCCAGGGTGCATGTTTAGTGCGCAAATGTTGTGTAACGTTGCAGATAGAAATGCTATGAATAGAGACAACACGGTTCCTTGTTCTACATGTCAGAGGCATGTTTGTTCTACATAGCATGTTTCTATCTGAATGTTCCAAAATGTTGTATTCTGCTGAACGCACGTGGTCCCAGTCCTCAAAAGTCAACAGGCATTTTAGATTTGTATATCTGAGATGTTTATTAGATATTTGTGTGCGTGTCACATATAAAGACAAACCACACAGCTCTATCTCGGCGTCAACACTCCTGACCAACAAAGACCTCTGTGCAGATGATGCATTTGTTTTAATTTCTGAATAATCCTGATGAAAGAAACCACTGATGCCAGAGAGAAACTAACCAGGGAGAATGTGCTGAAGAGGTAGTTTAACAGTAATAGATGACTGTAAGGTTATGGTTTTGGTGTCGTATGCAGATGTCATACCAAATTCAACGTTTATTTACACTGGGAAGTCGTACTCTTTAACAAGTGAGCCCTGAACTATATTCAAAATACACACATTAAATACATACATTATGGAAGAGCTAATTGGTGTTCCTGTGAGTCTTCCATTCAAATTGCCGTGGTCTGAGCTGAGGGGCTTTGTTCCTTCTAGTGATTGTATTTCTGTGGCTAGTCCTGATGGTCCGTGTCCTCCCTCCCTCCCCAGAGGATCCGGGCCACAGTGAACACCCTGGAGCAGAAGAGACTGCTGATGGACCTGGACATCTCCATGAGGACCGTGGACTGCTTCTTCACGGTCACCTTCTACGGCGCTCTCTTCAGAGAGGTCAGCTCTCTGTAGCACATATACTGGGTTTACCTGAACACTGTCACTCAGCACCACATCTGTAGCACATAGACTGGGTTTACCTGAACACTGTCACTCAGCACCACATCTGTAGCACATAGACTGGGTTTACCTGAACACTGTCACTCAGCACCACATCTGTAGCACATAGACTGGGTTTGCAGAGGCAGCCCAACTATTACATTTTGCCAATTTATTGGCAAAAGATCTGATTGGTCAAAAGACCAATTATTGGCAAAAGATCAGAATTGGGCTACTTGTGTAAACGCAGCCATAGACTGGGCACCGTCAAATTAACTCTTGTTCAGTTTGTTGTCAAACTACGATGAGGAGTTATCTGGACTTCATCTTAATTGGTAAAACAAATCTGTCCTCGTCTCATTCCCTTCATCAACTGGTTAGAAAATACTTAACAGGTTGTTATGTTCCCCAGCAAGAAAACCAAAAATTGTCACTCAAACGGGAACTAACAGAGTCACTGATAACAACCAAAAGGAAACAGGTGGGGTTTTAAGAGGGGTTCTAAAAGACACTCATGATGTCCACTGAAAGTTGACTAGCAACAACAACTGGGACCTAAGACATCCATCATGAGCGGCCACAAAATTTCCCCAAAAGAGGCAAACAAAATAAAAACCCACACCAAACTTAAAGACAGGAACCCAAAAAGTGGAGAAAAATTAAAACAGGGATGTTTTTCTAGAAATGAAATGGGGAGAGCCAACTAAAGGTGTTGACCCTCCACATCTCTCAAGACAACTGGAGCACTGGGCCAGCCTCTCTCTTAAATATCACCTGGGCCAGCACAGGTCAAACACCTTCCGAGTAACGAGATGGACAAGCCAGCACAGGTGTAACTCATACTGACTAACGAGGTGACACCAATCGGTGCGCCCTACGTGCTAACGTGCTGTACGTGCTAAAAGTCCAACCTCAAAACATACATGGAAAAAACCAAAACCTTTAACAAGGTGAAAACGTTATGGTGGAAACCCATCGCTAGGCTGGCTTTCTCTTGGCCCTCAAATACATTTTCATTTCGGGTGCGTTTTCAAACTACGATTAAAAGTAGTCTCCTCCGTATTAATCATGGAAGGACTTATTTGCTTTTTTTTTTACTGTGTTTTTGTGTGTCACAATGACCTCAGTGCAGATTTATATATTTGTTTTAATTTCTGAATAATCCAATAAAATGTGATTTGAAGGAAATCACTGATGCCAGAGAAACTAAACAAACAACAACAAAGAAACCAGTCTGAGTGTTCTAAAGAGGTAGTTGTACATGAATGGGTGATGTCTCTGCGTTGCCAGGGTGATGTGTGGATCTGCATGGAGCTGATGGACACGTCTCTGGATAAGTTCTACAAGCAAGTGATAGATAAAGGCATGACCATCCCTGAAGACATTTTGGGGAAGATCAGTGTAGCGGTGAGTGGACACCTGGGTCGTGTTCATCAGGGCACGCAATGGAAAACATTTTAAAAAACGCATTGCAACCAAAAACTAAAATGAGTATTTTGTTATTGGACCAGGTCCAGGTAGTTCCTCCCTGTTTCAGTTCGTTTTTATTCTGTTTGTTGCCTAATGAGCACAACCCTGCAGGGTTACTGAATTAATGCTTATAGCTACAGTATAACATGACGATGACCTCTGTGCAGATGATGTATTTTGTTTTAATTTCTGAATAATCCTGATGAGAGAAACCACTGATGCCAGAGAGAAACTAAACAGAACAAAAAAACAGGGAGAATATTGAAGTACACTTTCATATTGATATGATTTATATTGTCATTTGTAAATAAATAAAATAAAAAAATAAATGTACACACCAGGTTGGTATGACACTGTATTAGGACCAGTCACACAGCTAGTCCTGTTCCCTCAGGTTATCTGTCATTAAAATCCAGTGTGTGTAACCGTCTCTGTCTCTCTCCAGATCGTCAAGGCTTTGGAGCATCTGCATAACAAACTTTCAGTGATACACAGAGGTAAATGAAGGACAAGACTGTGTTATCCCGCTGAGCTAAAGCCAAGTCAAACATACATTTCGCTTGGGGAGCTGGGAGCTAACACAAGTCTTCAGGTCTCGGGCACGGTTGCTCATCACTCGATCACCTCCTTTACATTTTAGTCATTTAGCAGACGCTCTTATCCAGAGCGACTTACAGTTAGTGAATGCTTTACCCATGCTGATCTGAAATGTCCCTTTATTTTCTTTGCATTCCACCACGTTTGGGGGGACTAAACTATTCATTATTATTTTTAAAAAATCTTTATTTTTGTAAATATGTCCCTTCTTTGTGCAGATGTGAAACCGTCCAACGTGCTGATCAACACACAGGGTCAGGTGAAGATGTGTGACTTTGGCATCAGCGGCCACCTGGTGGACTCTGTGGCCAAGACCATGGACGCCGGCTGCAAGCCCTACATGGCGGTGAGTTGGAATGGGGAGAGAGATGGGTGAGCTCTGACACCTTCTCGGCCATGTTCAGTAAGCACCAGGGTTTTGGTTAGCCGGTAATGGCCAGCTTTTGGTTTTAATTTTTTTTGGAGAATCCCAAAAATTGCTGTAGCAAAATATTGCTTTTTAGCCTGTTCATGGATGGAAACCCCATCGATGTAAAAGCATTTGACCGGTCATGCTTACAGTGCATTCGTAAAGTATTCAGACACGTTCCCGTTTTCCACATTTACAGCCTGATTTTAAAATGGATTCAATTAATTTTTTCCCTCATTGGTCTATACATAATACCCCATAATGACAAATCAAAAACAGGTTTTTAGAAATGTTTGCAAATGTATTACAAATAAAAAACCGATACCTTAATTACATAAGCATTCAGACCCTTTGCTATGAGACTCGAAATTGAGCTCAGGTGCATCCTGTTTCCGTTGATCATCCTTGAGTCCACTCGTGGTAAATTGCGCTTCCCATTTGCCATTTTATATATGCGACGGTATAGGTAGGCATCAGTACGTCACACCACTTTGTAATGAGCTGGAGGCAGTGTTCATGTTGAAAACATACTTACATGTAACTGTTTGAAACCTGAACGTTTTACTACATATTATGAGACGTCTTACCTTCCTTACAAGGAAAATCCGAACATAGAAACGTGGAGGCAATTATTTTATAAGGACTTCCATTTGCCATTGAAACCAGTAGCATATTTCTCGCATGTTCTATTGGTTTTCAAATCAACTTTCTTTCATTGTCCAGTAGCCAAAGGCACAATCCTAGTCATATTAGAAACCCATTCTAGTTGTTGCATCTTTAGTTCTCCCCTCTCTAAATTGTTTGTGCGGTGCGCATTTGACAACAGGGTTTTCATGCTAATTGCATTTTCAAACGAACAGCCGCGTGTAGCTTTCTGCCTTGTGCTCATTGCTGCGCTAATAATGTGAAGAAATAATCATTTATCAACATTTTAAGTTAACATTCTGATCTGTTGCATCAGCCTTGTTGTTTTTTTATGTAGCCTAGGCCTACTGGTTGTATGAATTTGGAATCCTTCGTCCCACAACTGTCCCAGAGTCTGTTTGGAATAGGCTATTTCTTTCTCGCACAGAATGATAAGCTGACCAATAGAATAGGTCAACTTTTCTACTATGCGGGATAATAGATTGACATAGGCTAGTGATTTTGCTGTTAGTTTCTCGTCTTGTTAGCTGAGGAGAAGTAATGTAACAGTTATTCTAAGATCTTCAAAGTGCGCATCAGAATTCGGTAAGAAGGACGCACGCCTTCTTGCATCTTTGATGTTCTTTTAAGATGAATAACCATAATCTAAATGTGATTTCGGTGGGTGGACGCCCTAAAATGCGTACATTTCGTAAGTGTGTACATTTCATGTCTGTTAAATTAAAGTGCTGCCGGTCAAATGTCCTGCGTAACCCTGGTAGGCACCATATGGGAAACGTTTTAGAGAAGTTTGACACGGAATAAATGAAATGAAATGTCCATATTGGACAAGTTAATGTGGTACTACCTCTTACGTACCGACTGAACACGACCCTGGGTGCAGTCATGGGTTAGGCAGATTCCTTTTTCGTGGTCAAGCTGTGCTTGCTATATCATGTTGATGTGGTTCATTTACATTTTACATTTACGTCATTTAGCAGACGCTCTTATCCAGAGCGACTTACAAATTGGTGCATTCACCCTATAGCCAGTGGGATAACCACTTTACAAATTTTTTTTGTTTTTTTTGGGGGGGGGTAGAAGGATTACTTTATCCTATCCCAGGTATTCCTTAAAGAGGTGGGGTTTCAAATGTCTCCGGAAGGTGGTGAGTGACTCCTGGCGTCATGAGGGAGCTTGTTCCACCATTGGGGTGCCAGAGCAGCGAACAGTTTTGACTGGGCTGAGCGGGAACTATGCTTCCGCAGAGGAAGGGGAGCCAGCAGGCCAGAGGTGGATGAACGCAATGCCCTCGTTTGGGTGTAGGGACTGATCAGAGCCTGAAGGTACGGAGGTGCCGTTCCCCTCACAGCTCCATAGGCAAGCACCATGGTCTTGTAACAGATGCGAGCTTCAACTGGAAGCCAGTGGAGTGTGCGGAGGAGCGGGGTGACGTGAGAGAACTTGGGAAGGTTGAACACCAGACGGGCTGCGGCATTCTGGATGAGTTGTAGGGGTTTAATGGCACAGGCAGGGAGCCCAGCCAACAGCGAGTTGCAGTAATCCAGACGGGAGATGACAAGTGCCTGGATTAGGACCTGTGCCGCTTCCTGTGTAAGGCAGGGTCGTACTCTCCGAATGTTGTAGAGCATGAACCTACAGGATCGGGTCACCGCCTTGATGTTAGCGGAGAACGACAGGGTGTTGTCCAGGGTCACGCCAAGGCTCTTCGCACTCTGGGAGGAGGACACAACGGAGTTGTCAACCGTGATGGCGAGATCATGGAACGGGCAGTCCTTCCCTGGGAGGAAGAGCAGCTCCGTCTTGCCAGGGTTCAGCTTGAGGTGGTGATCCGTCATCCATACTGATATGTCTGCCAGACATGCAGAGATGCGATTCGCCACCTGGTTATCAGAAGGGGGAAAGGAGAAGATTAGTTGTGTATCGTCAGTGTAGCAATGATAGGAGAGGCCATGTGAGGATATGACTTGGTGTATAGCGAGAATAGGAGAGGGCCTAGAACTGAGCCCTGGGGGACACCAGTGGTGAGAGCACGTGGTGCGGAGACAGCTTCTCGCCACGCCACTTGGTAGGAGCGACCGGTCAGGTAGGACGCAATCCAAGAGTGAGCCGCGCCGGAGATGCCCAGCTTGGAGAGGGTGGAGAGGAGGATCTGATGGTTCACAGTATCAAAGGCAGCAGACAGGTCTAGAAGGACAAGAGCAGAGGAGAGAGAGTTAGCTTTAGCAGTGCGGAGAGCCTCCGTGACAGAGAAGAGCAGTCTCAGTTGAATGACCAGTCCTGAAACCTGACTGGTTTGGATCAAGAAGGTCATTCTGAGAGAGATGGCAAGAGAGTTGGCTAAAGACGGCACGCTCAATAGTTTTGGAAAGAAAAGAAAGAAGGGATACTGGTCTGTAGTTGTTGACATCAGAGGGATCGAGTGTTGGTTTTTTGAGAAGGGGTGCAACTCTCGCTCTCTTGAAGACGGAAGGGACATAGCCAGCGGTCAAGGATGAGTTGATCAGCGAGGTGAGGTAGGGGAGAAGGTCACCGGAGATGGTCTGGAGAAGAGAGGAGGGGATAGGGTTAAGCGGGCAGGTTGTTGGGCGGCCTGCAGTCACAAGTCGCAAGATTTTATCTGGAGAGAGAGGTTCCTGAGATGCTAAAAGTGATTATGACCTCTGTGTTTTAATTTCTGAATAATCCTGATGAAAGAAACAACTTATGCCAGAGAGAAACTAAACTGAACAAAAAAACATGGAGCTTGTGCTGAAGAGGTAGTTGAACAGCGATAGTGAGTAGGAACGGGAAGAGAAAGAGAGGTGGCTCTTACACCGTCTGGGCCACATTCAGTAGGCACCACATGGAAAACGTCTAACACAACAAAAATACTTAACACGACCCATTCAGCTCCCAATTAAATAGGATTGGTGCTGGTTGTGTTGACCTCATTGTTATATGTTATTGTGCTATTCTTATCCTATGTTATGGCGCTGATGTCAATGTAATGGTGGTCATAGTGTTTTCTCTGTTTCAGCCAGAACGGATAAACCCTGACCTCAACCAGAAAGGCTACAGCGTCAAGTCAGACATCTGGAGTCTAGGAATCACAATGGTGAGTCACAGACATGATTGGGACCAAATCTTGGATTGAGATGACGTAAACTGTGCATTAACGTCAAATTACATCCATTCATCTCAAATCGGCAATCTACCAGAAACAACCACACCAATTCTATCAACAGCAGGGTCATGTTCATTAGGCACCAAACAGAAGAAAATGGGACTGAAACGGGGAGGGGCTACCTGAATTGATGTTATTGTATTCTGTTGCAACATTAGTTTTACGGTGTACCCTAATGAATACAACCCTGGTCTGAGTGATGATTCTACTGTGTTGTCTCGTGTGACGATAAATACCAGGCTCCATAGTTGAAAGATGAGCTCCTGCCTGCTTCTCTCTGTGGGTTAACAAACCTCTGTCATTCTGTCTGGTCTTCTCCCCCCTGCCCCAGATTGAGCTGGCCATTTTGAAGTTCCCCTACGACTCGTGGGGTACACCCTTCCAGCAACTGAAGCAGGTAGTGGATGAGCCCTCTCCACAGCTGCCCTCGGACCGCTTCTCCCCTGAGTTTGTGGACTTCAGCTCCCAATGGTGAGCCCATCTCTCTCTCCCTGTGTGCGTTCCAAATGGCACCCTCTTCCCTATATAGTATGGATGGGCATGAGCACTCGAACAGACGTCAAAACGTGCTTTTTAACCAGAGATCCATTTTATTTTTATATATATATATATATATACTGTAAAACTATTTGGTGGAATGGTTCCACACTGAAAATATACAAAAACATTAATTTAAAAAAGACAACGAGCTGTATTTTCATCAGAATCATTTAAGCCTAAACCTACTAAACCAAACTGATGTTGTGGCTGTAATTCATCACTGTGCGCAGTGTTCAATGTGGAATTGTTAATCCGTTCAGAAAATTCCAAAGAACAGGCAGAGTAACCTAAATCGAAAGTCTGTAGGCCTATATCGTAAAGCCAGATTTTGGTTTGTAACCCTGAAGAAATTGTATTTCAACGTGCCAAACTAAGCCCCGTTTCAAATTATCACTCTTTGAGAATAACTGTTCCAGAGGCCATCACTTATCACTTCGCACTGGCAACATTTTTCATTTGGAAAAATATTCTGTTCTGTTTTATTGTGTTATATTATATCATGTTTTTTGCGGTAAAATAGGTGTCTTGACTGATAAGTGCTCAGGAAATTACCGTATTTTCCGCACTATAAGGCGCACTTTCAATGAATGGCCTATTTTAGAACTGTTTTCATATATAGGGCGCACCGGATTATAAGGCGCATAGAATAGAAGATACTGCAGTCAAACGTTTGACTGGGGTTGCGTTATGCATCCACTAGATGGAGCTGTGCTAAAGGGAATGTCAACAAAACAGTCAGATAAAGTCAAACTTTATTAAGCGTTCTGACAACAATTTTGGGGTCTTTATACACACACAAGTGGTGTGGGACTGTGAGTAAGCACAGTACCGGTGTTTACTGACTACGGTAGCCGTAATGCTGCATGCGGTGCGGCTTTGTAGTTTACCAGTCGTACTGAAACATTTCATTATTATTAAATTGGTTTTATTGGTTTTTCATACTGAAACATTTTGACAGAGCGCCTTGAGCGCCGTGTACAACCAGTATGGATCAACCAATTAACCAATTGATCCATATATAAGGCGCTCCGGATTATAAGGCACACTGTCGTTTTTTTTAGAAAATTAAAGGCTTTTAAGTGCGCCTTATAGTGCGGAAAATACGGTAACAAAACAAGGCTATGCCATTGCAAAGCCATAGGCTTGTACAAGCAAGCGCCACTGCTGAGGTTACTACCTTTTTGAAGATTGTGTTCCACAATATAATATAACCAGTTGATATTATTGTTTCAAGAAATGAATCTTAAATGGCAATAGTTTTTTTTTTTATTGAGTGTGTGTATGTGTACAGTGGGGAGAACAAGTATTTGATACACTGCCGATTTTGCAGGTTTTCCTACTTACAAAGCATGTAGAGGTCTGTAATTTTTATCATAGGTACACTTCAACTGTGAGACGGAATCTAAAACAAAAATCCAGAAAATCACATTGTATGATTTTAAAGTAATTGATTTGCATTTTATTGCATGACAGAAGTATTTGATACATCAGAAAAGCAGAACTTAATATTTGGTACAGAAACCTTTGTTTGCAATTACAGAGATCATACGTTTCCTGTAGGTCTTGACCAGGTTTGCACACACTGCAGCAGGAATTTTTGGATTTTGACTTCTCCAGATCCTTCAGGTTTCGGGGCTGTTGCTGGGCAATACAGACTTTCAGCTCCCTCCAAAGATTTTCTATTGGGTTCAGGTCTGGAGACTGGCTAGGCCACTCCAGGACCTTGAGATGCTTCTTACGGAGCCACTCCTTAGTTGTCCTGGCTGTGTGTTTCGGGTCGTTGTCATGTTGGAAGACCCAGCCACGACCCATCTTCAATGCTCTTACTGAGGGAAGGAGGTTGTTGGCCAAGATCTCGCGATACATGGCCCCATCCATCCTCCCCTCAATACGGTGCAGTCGTCCTGTCCCCTTTGCAGAAAAGCATCCCCAAAGAATGATGTTTCCACCTCCATGCTTCACGGTTGGGATGGTGTTCTTGGGGTTGTACTCATCCTTCTTCTTCCTCCAAACACGGTGAGTGGAGTTTAGACCAAAAAGCTTTATTTTTAGCTCATCAGACCACATGACCTTCTCCCATTCCTCCTCTGGATCATCCAGATGGTCATTGGCAAACTTCAGACGGGCCTGGACATGCGCTGGCTTGAGCAGGGGGACCTTGCGTGCGCTGCAGGATTTTAATCCATGACGGCGTAGTGTGTTACTAATGGTTTTCTTTGAGACTGTGGTCCCAGCTCTCTTCAGGTCATTGACCAGGTCCTGCCATGTAGTTCTGGGCTGATCCCTCACCTTCCTCATGATCATTGATGCCCCACGAGGTGAGATCTTGCATGGAGCCCCAGACCGAGGGTGATTGACCGTCATCTTGAACTTCTTCCATTTTCTAATAATTGCGCCAACAGTTGTTGCCTTCTCACCAAGCTGCCTGCCTATTGTCCTGTAGCCCATCCCAGCCTTGTGCAGGTCTACAATTTTATCCCTGATGTCCTTACACAGCTCTCTGGTCTTGGCCGTTGTGGAGAGGTTGGAGTCTGTTTGATTGAATGTGTGGACAGGTGTCTTTTTATACAGGTAACGAGTTCAAACAGGTGCAGTTAATATAGGTAATGAGTGGAGAACAGGAGGGCTTCTTAAAGAAAAACTAACAGGTCTGTGAGAGCCAGTATTCTTACTGGTTGGTAGGTGATCAAATACTTATGTGATGCAATAAAATGCAAATTAATTACTTAAAAATCATACAATGTGATTTTCTGGATTTTTTCTGGAAATTACAGACCTCTACATGCTTTGTAAGTAGGAAAACCTGCAAAATCGGCAGTGTATCAAATACTTGTTCTCCCCACTGTACATACAGTGGGGAAAAAAAGTATTTAGTCAGCCACCAATTGTGCAAGTTCTCCCACTAAAAAAGATGAGAGGCCTGTAATTTTCATCATAGGTACACGTCAACTATGACAGACAAAATGAGATTTTCTTCTCCAGAAAATGACATTGTAGGATTTTTAATGAATTTATTTGCAAATTATGTTGGAAAATAAGTATTTGGTCAATAACAAAAGTTTCTCAATACTTTGTTATATACCCTTTGTTGGCAATGACACAGGTCAAACGTTTTCTGTAAGTCTTCACAAGGTTTTCACACACTGTTGCTGGTATTTTGGCCCATTCCTCCATGCAGATCTCCTCTAGAGCAGTGATGTTTTGGGGCTGTCGCTGGGCAACACGGACTTTCAACTCCCTCCAAAGGTTTTCTATGGGGTTGAGATCTGGAGACTGGCTAGGCCACTCCAGGACCTTGAAATGCTTACTCCTTCGTTGCCCGGGCGGTGTGTTTGGGAATCATTGTCATGCTGAAAGACCCAGCCACGTTTCATCTTCAATGCCCTTGCTGATGGAAGGAGGTTTTCACTCAAAATCTCACGATACATGGCCCCATTCATTCTTTCCTTTACACGGATCAGTCGTCCTGGTCCCTTTGCAGAAAATCAGCCCCAAAGCATGATGTTTCCACCCCCATGCTTCACAGTAGGTATGGTGTTCTTTGGATGCAACTCAGCATTCTTTGTCCTCCAAACACGACGAGTTGAGTTTTGACCAAAAAGTTATATTTTGGTTTCATCTGACCATATGACATTCTCCCAATCCTCTTCTGGATCATCCAAATGCACTCTAGCAAACTTCAGACGGGCCTGGACATGTACTGGCTTAAGCAGGGGGACACGTCTGGCACTGCTAATAATTGCTCCCACAGTTGATTTCTTCAAACCAAGCTGCTTACCTATTGCAGATTCAGTCTTCCCAGCCTGGTGCAGGTCTACAATTTTGTTTCTGGTGTCCTTTGACAGCTCTTTGGTCTTGGCCATAGTGGAATTTGGAGTGTGACTGTTTGAGGTTGTGGACAGGTGTCTTTTATACTGATAACAAGTTCAAACAGGTGCCATTAATACAGGTAATGAGTGGAGGACAGAGGAGCCTCTTAAAGAAGAAGTTACAGGTCTGTGAGAGCCAGAAATCTTGCTTGTTTGTAGGTGACCAAATACTTATTTTCCACCATAATTTGCAAATAAATTCATTAAAAATCCTACAATGTGATTTTCTGGATTTTTTTTCTTCTCAATTTGTCTGTCATAGTTGACGTGTACCTATGATGAAAATTACAGGCCTCTCTCATCTTTTTAAGTGGGAGAACTTGCACAATTGGTGGCTGACTAAATACTTTTTTCCCCCACTGCACGCACACACATTTTTTTCCAATGCGGGCCTTGCCCATGTGTTCTAAAAGTAGATTTCTTTACATTCTGAGTACGCTGAAAAAAAATCATGCGAGTACTCGGAACAGTGAAAGATGTTGAAATGACCATCCCTACTATTTAGTGCACTACCTTTGACCAGGATCTATAGGAGAAGAGTTTACGGCCCTGGTCAAAAGTAGTGCACTATATAGGGAATAGGGTGTCATCCTGGTCAAAAGTAGTGCACTAAATAGGGAATAGGGTGTTATTTGGGATGCTGCCTATCTGTGGCCTTACTGATGAGGCAGTGGAACCAAATACCACCAGGTGGCACTGCCCTGCTGTCCTCTCCCTGTGGGTCCCCTTCAGCCTGTGCATCTCTGACTGCTACAACATATGAATGTGGTTGGTGAGACTGATTGTGGGACTTCCTGGTTAAATAACTAAATAGAAACATTAAAGCCTTCTCCAGGCGTAATCAGATCTGATTATCTGCCCAGTGTGAATGTGACCTGGAAAAATAGACTACCTGGAAATAAATCCACCTAAATCTTGGGGGACAATCCAGTTGTCCTGACCTAGTTCCACCTTGGCCCGCTCTATAAATGTATTCCTGTTGCTTTCATGTACTCTTTTGTGGTAAGTTTATCTGGTGTAAATGTGTTTTGGTGTACTTAGGGTTGCATAATTACAGCAACCTTCCCAGGTTGGAGGATTCTGGATTTCCTGCTTATTCCTTCCTGATTATGGGAATTTTAGGGAAGTTATCAGAATATTGCAACCTTATGTGTACTAAATCATAGGTTGAACCAGAGGACAGGATCCTCAAAGATGTTTAGATGTGTTGGGGGCTCTTACTAAAGGTGTATTGTAAGAAGTGTCCAGTATTGAGGTCTGTTTCTCAGTTCTTTGTTTTGTTTTGTCTCTGCAGCTTAAGAAAGAAACCCAACGAGAGACCCGCCTACACAGAATTAATGGTTGGTTTTAGATCCTCATAAGCATTTGTTTCTATCCGTGACCGGTGAATATGTTGTTTTTCTCTCTTCATTCATGCCGTCTTTGTAAAGGCTCACTTCCTGCTCCGTTTCCTCTGTCATGTGTCCACAAGAGGACAGGCTTACCCAAGTGATTAGTCAAACCATGATGATGATGATGTATTCTTGTATACACAACGCATGTTTAAATCCTGTGTGTAAATGTTTCTGTTGGACTACACTTATTTTAGGAGTTGTTGACTCATGGTGTTTTTCTCATGTATTTCTTTTTACAGCAACATCCCTTTTTCACCCTGCATGACTCCAAAGAAACGGACGTAGCCAGCTTTGTCAAGATCATCCTGGCAGACTGACACGCCCCTCCACCCACCAGGGTAGGAGGTAGGTGGGACTTCTCCACCCACCCACCAATCCCAGGCCTTTCAGAAAGCTCACTGGAAATGATCTGCCACACAACTCCAACTTTCTGTCCACCTACCTACCCCACAACAGAGGGGTTTTCCCGAAAGACTGACTACAGCTCACAGAGGCCATGTGGGAGAGCGCTTGTAATATGAACTCAAGATATTGATGTTGTCCACCCAAACTGGAGAGGGTCAACTCGCCCACGGATCCAACAACCCCTTCCCTTCCTCTACTCCTACAAACTGAACTGAATCAAACTCCTCACTGTACCAGTTTTCTGAATGGACAGTGTCAGCAGAAAGTAAATCTCTCGTTACACATACTGTATGTTCCTCACTCTGAATTACACAAAGAGAAAAATCGTTCGATAAAATGTGTACGTCTCTGTATAATTAATTGAAAAAATATATTTAGCATTTATGCCTTTATTTTTCTGATACAGTTTGTAATACTGTATATTTTCATCAAGTATGAATTAGCAAGGAAGTGTCTTTACTCTTTCTGAATCCTAGCATGAGGTGACCTACATTTCTCGTCTCACCTTCTGGTGATTGGTCGGTCAGTGACTGGACGGCAGCAGCTGTCTTCGGGCAGGGTTTGGGGAGGCTCTGGAGGGGTCAGACGAAGTAAGTTTCTTCTTGGGTAAAGTTCAAAGGTGAAAGCGTGACAGGGGGCCCTGGACAAAAGGAATTGCAAGTCCTACCTAGGAGTCTTTTGTGGCATGGGAATGCGAGGCATCCGATATCATCTGACCTCAAAGACATGCCCCTATATGCAACCCCCACACCCCTCTGCCCCGCCCCTTCCTAAACTCTCTCACCCATCTGTACACACCCCTCTGCCTCGCCCCTTCCTAACCATCGCACCCTGCTCTGTCACCAAGAGTGTTGTGAAGAGTGTATTCTCGTATAGTACATGGTGATGTAATTGGGGAATGATTCTCTTAACTATCCAGACTATACTGCATCTATCTTCCAGTCCCTCTGAGCCATTTCAAATATGTATTTTCATTATGAATTATTATTACCTTGGTTTCCTGGATGTGGTCGGGGGCTGCTGTTTGACACGTTTAATTATTATAATAATTTTTTTCATTTCCTTTTCCTGAGTGCAGGACAGGAGCATGTCAGTATCGTGTTTCGCCCCCAAAGCACTTATGTTAACAGAGAGGTCTACGAAGCCTCATGCCTTACACGTACAGTATGTTAGGGGAAATAATTTATGTGTGTTGAAGATGTAAATACTATTTTGGACAACTTTTTCTCTTTTAAATGTAACGTTGGCGATGTGGCGGCAGAGTGGACGTGTACTCGTGCGCTATGCGGCTGATTGATGTGTACTCGTTAGTTTTAATGCAGTCGGTGTGTGAGAGAGGTAAACGCAGCCCGCTGACTCCTGTACTCGTCCGTCTGTTTGATCGATGAGCTGCTGCAGCCACCTCTCAGGTTTCAATGCCCTGCTTTAAGTCAGCGGAGGCAGCCATGTTTGTTTCCCCACGATGTTGTACCTCCTCTGAAGGCTGGGTAGTGTTCATTAGGCAGCAAACGGAATGAAATAAACAGTGAGGAACTACCTGGACTTGGTCCGAATAAGAAACGCTCATGTTCGGTTCCTCGTTGCAAAACGTTAAACGCTTTCTGTTGCATGCCCCAATGAACATGACCCTTTATGGTGGAAGACTACTTCTGTGTGAGATCATGCTAGGCTGTGAATGCGTACTTGCCATTTAGGCTTGAATCCCAAATCGACCCCTAATCCCTAGGCAATCCTCTAGGTCTGAGACCAATTGGACAGGTATGAGCACTATAACAAGGTGATGCAATCACCATATTGGTTAAAAGTATCCACTCCAATCTTTATCTATAGGAGTGCCCTAGGGAGTAGGGAGGCTCTGGGTTGATCTGGAACTCAACCCTCCGGACTCTGCTATGCAGTGGCCCTTAAGTCTTTGATCAGGACTATGAGAATCCTGCAATGTGACAACCAGTGGTAGTGGTGGCACTTGCCCTTAGTGTTTTTAGGGTGCGTCCAAAAGGATGCCCTATTTCCTATCCCTTCTTTCTAGGGAATCGGGTGCCATTTCAGACGCAGCCCTGGTCTGTGATTGGTAAGCCTATCCGGTCACCTCTCAGCCTCTGACGTACACTGTAGTGGGCTTTTTATCAAAGTCGGTGGATGAGGAGTATTTATGATATGTGAGTAAAGAAGGGAAAGCTAATAAAGAGCTGCTGTGATTTGACCTTTTTTCTTGTTGGCCATCTTAGAAGTGGGCCACTGTAATACTCGGAATAGTTCTGTTCCACTTTTTAGTTCCGTAAGCGAACTAGAGCAGTGAACAACACATTAGAATGTAGGGTGTAGCGCCTTCTTTGGCCCATTCACAGTGTATTTATGGCTATCGAACTTACGGTGTTAGTTCTTTATGGGTAACTTTGTAGTTTGCGAAGCTTAAGGATCTAGAAGTGGAACGGGACTATTCCAAATAGTACAGAGGCCCCGCAGAAGACACTGATTCCTTATGTGTTGAGAAGAGTGAGTACAGGCTGATGACTGTGTGGATGGAACTGTACAGGCTGATGACTGTGTGGATGGAACTGTACAGGCTGATGACAGTGTGGATGGAACTGTACAGGCTGATGACAGTGTGGATGGAACTGATGGTCTACCTCTCTCATTCACTCTACCCGCCACCACGTCATTGGGTAGTTCTGACAAACTTGAACTGTGGGAAGACGTAATAAAGGCTTTATTCTTAAAATAAAATGTGTCCTTGTGAATTACTGTTATCGCACAAACCTTCCCGAGTGTCCCGTTTTATCAACTAAATCGCAACCATGATTGTTATTGTTGCTAGACCTTAGAATCATGATTAAATCAAATCAAAGTTTATTGGTGTCGTACATAGTAGCAGATGTTATGGCAGGTGCAGCCAAATGCTCCTAACAGTGCAGCAAAAATGTCAAACTAATAATAATCAAAAACTAGAAACAAGAAATCACAAATGTCAGAACGAAACCAGTGAACAACCCAAATAACACTATCAGTAATCCAAATTAAATCTATGCGTCTGTACTAGTGTTGTCACGATACCAGAATTTTGACTTCGATACCAGGTTTAGTACACTCGATACCAAAACGATACCACAGCAAAAAAAAATAACCAGGGAGGACTAATTGGATGTTCTAAGTCCACAACAATGCTTAAACCACGTCAGGGGACAATGTTTTTAGGTCTGGGAATTTTATTTTTACTTTTTGCCGTAGTTTCCCTTTAATTCAAGTGCTCATGCACTTAGCAATGTTTGGTTAGCAGTGGTTCTGTAGGGCACATAATTGAGTTAGTAAAACAAATGGCCACTGGATTGATGCAAATAATCATGATTCTGCCTACTTTGTAGTTAACTTTTAATTTAGAAGGTTTTGGGGAAAGCCTTTCCATCTATCCGACGAAGGTTAGCCTATCATTAGCATTGCTAACGGCTACACAAGGTGGTAAACATACACGCACCACACAGATGGGCATTCAAATAATGATAAACTTGGGCAAATTAATTACGTTTCTAATAAATTCAACAGATTTAGTTGATTTCCAAACGTGAGACACGTTTGATAGAAGAACCGAAAGTACAATTATAGTACCGGACTGTTCATTTTGTATTGAAAAACGACTGAAATATTTTGTATCCCCATTAGGCAGTTATACAATTTTAAAAACATTACAATACATTCACAACAGATTTCACAACATATTGTGTGCACTCAGGCACCTACTCCACTACCACATACCTACAACACAAAATCCATGTGTACGTGTGTGTATAGTGCGTATATTATCGTGTCTGTGTATGCATGTGTCTGTGCCTGTGTTGCTTCACAGTCCCGCTGTACCATAAGGTACTCCTGAGTGGCGCAGTGGTCTAAGGCACTGCATCGCAGTGCTAACTGTGCCACTAGAGATCCTGGTTCGAATCCAGGCTCTGTCGCAGCCGGCCGCGACCGGGAGACTCATGGGCGGTGCACAATTGGCCCAGCGTCGTCCAGGGTAGGGGAGGGAATGGCCGGCAGGGATGTAGCTCAGTTGATAGAGCATGGCGTTTGCAACGCCAGGGTTGTGGGTTCGATTCCCACGGGGGGCCAGTATAAAAATATATGTATTCACTAACTGTAAGTCGCTCTGGATAAGAGCGTCTGCTAAATGACTAAAATGTAAATGTAAAATGTATTTTTATATTTTTTTAATCTAATTTTACTGCTTGCATGAGTTACTTGATGTGGAATAGAGTTCTATGTAGTCATGGCTCTATGTAGTACTGTGCGCCTCCTGTAGTCTGTTCTGGACTTGGGGACTGTGAAGAGACCTCTGGTGGCATGTCTTGTGGGGTATGCATGGGTGTCCGAGCTGTGTGCCAGTAGTTCAAACGGACAACTCGGTGCATTCAACATGTCAATACCTCTCACATACAAGTAGTGATGAAGTCAATCTCTCCTCCACTTTGAGCCAAAGATTGACATGCATATTATTAATGTTAGCTATCTATGTACATCCAAGGGCCAGCAGTGCTGCCCTGTTCTGAGACAATTGCAAGTCCCTCTTTGTGGCACCTGACCACACGACTGAACAGTAGTCCAGGTGCAACAAAACTAGGGCCTGTAGGACCTGCCTTGTTGATAGTGCTGTTAAGCGGCAGGTAGCTTAGTGGTTAAGAGCGTTGTGCCAGTAACAGAAAGGTCGCTGGTTCTAATCCCCGAGCCGACTAGGTGAAAAATCTGTCTGTGCCCTTGAGCAAGGCACTTAACCCTAATTGCTCCTGTAAGTCGCTCTGGATAAGAGCGTCTGCTAAATGACTCAAATGTAAGAAGGCAGAGCAGCGCTTTATTATGGCCAGATTTCTCCCCGTCTTAGCTACTGTTGTATCAATATGTTTTGACCATGACAGTTTACAATCACAGGGTTACTCCAAGCAGTTTAGTCACCTCAACTAGCTCAATTTCCACATTATTCATTACAAGATATAATTGAGGTTAAGGGTTTAGTAAATTATTTTTCCCAAATACAATGCTTTTAGTCTAACTTATTCCTTGCAACCCATTCTGAAACTAACTGCAGCTCTTTGTTAAGTGTTGCAGTCATTTCAGTCACTGTTGTAGCTGACATGTATAGTGTTGAGTCATCCGCATACATAGACACACTGGCTTTACTCAAAGTCAGTGGCATGTCTTTAGTAAAGATTGAAAAAGTTAAGGGGCCTAGACAGCTGCCCTGGGGAATTCCTGATTCTACCTGGATTATGTTTGAGAGGCTTCCATTAAAGAACACTCTCTGTATTCTGTTAGACAGGTAGCTCTTTATCCACACTATAGCAGGGGGTATAAAGCCATAACACACAAGTTTTTCCAGCAGCAGACTATTATCGATAATGTCAAAAGCTGCACTGAAGTCTAACAAAACAGCCTCCACAATCTTTTTAACATCAATTTCTCTCGGCCAATCATCAGTCATTTGTGTAAGTGCTGTGCTTGTTGAATGTCCTTCCCTATAAGCGTGCGGAAAGTCTGTTGTCAATTTGTTTACTGTAAAATAGCATTGTATCTGGTCAAACACAACGTTTTCCAAAAGTTTACTAAGGGTTGGTAACAGGCTGATTGGTCTACTATTTGAGCCAGTAAAGGGGGCTTTACTATTCTTAGGTAGGGGAATTACTATTGCTTCCCTCCAGGCCTGAGGGCACACACTTTCTAGTAGGCTTGAATTGAAAATATGGCAAAAGGAGTGGCAATATCGTCCGCTATTATCCTCAATAATTCCATCCATCCAAATTGTCAGTATTGGTGTACCGTGCAACACTAGTATATACAACAAAAATATATACTAAGAAGGATATGTACAGCAGTAGATACAGTGCCTTTGGAAAGTACTCAGGCCCCTTGACTTTTTCTACATTTTGTTACGTTACAGCCTTATTCTAAAATGGATTCAATAAAATAAATCAACAATCTACACACAATACCCCATAATGACAAAGCAAAAACAGGTTTTTAGAAATGTTAGCAAATTTATAAAAAATAGAAAACAGAAATACCTTATTTACATAAGATTTCAGACTCTTTGCTATGAGACTGGTCATCCTTTAGATGTTTCTACAACTTGATTGGAGTCCACCTTTGGTAAATTCAATTGATTTTACATGATTTGGAAAGGCACACACATGTCTATATAAGGTCCCACAGTTGTCAGAGCAAAATCCAAGCCATGAGGTTGAAGGAATTGTCCGTAGTGCTCTGAGACAGGATTGTGTCGAGGCACAGATTTGGGGAAGGCTACCAAAACTTTTCTGCAGCATTGAAAGTCTCCAAGAACACATTGGCCTCCATCATTCTTAAATGGACGAAGTTTGGAACCACCAAGACACTTCCTAGAGCTGGCCGCCTGGC